TTAAGATATTTTTGTATCTAAGTTGTTGTTTAAAAGTATTATATTTAAAATAATTAGAAAGAATTTTAGCAAATTTAATTAAATAGTTGTTGAGATATTTTAATTTAAAAATTAAAAAATTTTACTAAAAATAATTTGTTTTTTTTCTACTGACTTACTTTATATTTTACTTATTATAATTCCTTTTTTTTTTCTTAATTTTAATAAAATAACAAAAAAAAACATATATACAGTGGTCTACTATATTATTGTAGACACTTGGGGCCTTTGCAATAGAAAGGGCTAATACTGCCTAAAAATGAAAATTGAGTTTTTGTTATATTTGGATAAATTTCGACATGGGCTACATTTTTCAATTATAAATAGAAATCGATTTGCATAATAAAAAATTAAGGTATTTAAAAAAAATTTCTTAGGAGTTTCATACATTACGAGATTACCTAATACAACTGGCCAATCAAAACACAAAATTTTTGATTAACCCAGATCAGTTCGAACAAAACAAACTCGATTTTTCAAAATAGTATATAAACCAGTATCGGCCCTTTCTATTGCAAAGGCCCCACTTTTAAAAAATTTATACAGAGCTAAATATGCAAAATATTAAACTAAAAATTAAATTATAACTTCTTTAAATCTATATTTTTTAAATAAAAAAAAGTTTAAAAATTCTATGCAAAGCTTTTTGAAATAATTAAGATTATGTAATATTGTGCAATGTTATACAGATACGAAAATAGTAATTGTTAAAAATTGGTTATTATAATTGCTATATAATAAAAGTTAATTTTTTATTAAGTAAATTAAACTTAATTATTATGCAAAATTTGTTTAGCATAACAAATTACATATAATTTTAAATTTTTAGAAATTTTTAAAAAATTTTGAATAAAATATTGTTATTAAATATTAAAGTTAAATGAATATTACTAACTATAACTGGCGGTGATCATCACGAGGTGCTTATATCTCAAAGACGTACTAAGTAAACTTGATCGGGTATCCTAAATAAAATGTTCAGGACCTCCGAAAACCTTTTAAAAACTAAATTTAGAACCTTGTATTAGCTCTATATTATTTTATATAAAAAAAAATAATTCTTAATACCCGCACTCTAATTCTAAAAATATCTAGGGGCGGTGATGATCACTGCCAGTGATTTGTAATTAAATTCAAGTTAAATTATTAAAATAAAATTAATAAATTACCAAATGTAGTAATTTTATTACTATATATAGTAATTTGCCAAATATTTTTTTAAAAATTATAAAACTTTTAAGATATGCACAATTTGTTATGCTAAATAATATTATTTAAAAAAATTGCTAACTTATTAATTGGTGATCTACCAGTCAACTAGAGAATAATTATAGTAAAAAGTAACTCAAATTACTTATAAAAATTGGGGTCTCCAAATGTGGCGTGCGTGTATCTAAAACTTTTTTTTATACTAAGTTAATCACTTTTCTAACTTAATTGATGATCCAGGTAAGATCGGCACTATTACTATATTGGGATAATAGTAAATTTTGGGGATAAGTACAATATAAATTTTTATTATATGCTGAAATCTGACGTCGGTCCAATGCTAAGTTTTTTTTTATTATGTTAACAGCTCAAGTCAATTAATTAAACGTTGTAGAGCTCACTGAGATGCATCTAATGGTAGTTAGATCATTCAAATCGGCCCAGTGTACGCTAAGATATCGCTAAAAAACGATTGGCTGACTATATAAAATTTTATATAAACAAACTAGAAATTTTATATAGTCGGTCAATGGTTTTTTAGTGATATCTCAGCATACACTGGGCGATTTGAATAATATAACCACCATTAGTTGCATCTCAGTGAGCTCTACAACGTTTAATTAATTGACTCAAGTTGTTAATATAACAAAAAAAATACTTATCATTGGACCAACATCAGATTTTAGTATATAATAAAAATCATAGTATTTTGTTCCAAATTCTAATATAAAAATAGTGCCGATCTTATCCGAATCAGTAATTAAGTAACTTTTGTAGAGCTTATCAAGATGAATCTGATAGTGGTTAAAGTGTCAAAATCAGCTTGGTAAGTGCTGAGATATCTTTAAAAAATATTTTTTTTACTATATAAACTTCTTTGCAAACTATTGTTTGTAAAGAAGTTTACATAGTAAAAGAAACATTTTTTAAAGATATCTTGGCACCCACCAAGCCGATTTTGACGCTTTAACCACCATTAGATGCATCTTGATAAGCTTTACAAAAGTCACTTAAGTTAGAAAAGTGATTAACTTAGTATAAAAAAAAGTTTTAGATGCGCACACGTCATATTTGGAGACCCCAATTTTTATAAGTAATTTGAGTCACTTTTTACTATAATCATTCTCTAGTTGACTAGTGAATTACCAATTAATAATAAAATTAAGTTTTTATATTACTATATTTAGTAATTCTAGTTATTATGTAATTATTATTAAAATTTAGAAAATCACATCAATAACAAAAATTCAAATTTTACTCAAACTTAATTATTTTAAAAAGCTTTGCATAGAATTTTTTAAACTTTTTTTATTTAAAAAATATAGATTTAAAAAACTTGTAATTTAATTTTTAGCTTAATATATTACCATATATTCCCGAAAATAAGCTACCATTTTTGGGTAAAAAATTACACGAAAATTTTGGGAGTAGCTTATTTCAAGTAATAGAGGTTTTTGACCATTTTTTATTAAGTAAACGTAGTTTTTATTTTTGTTATTTTGTTTTATTTTAGTTTATTTTATCAAATTAAATTATTTTATATATTTTTTAAAGTAATTTAATTTTTTATATGTTTTTAATATATAAAAAAGTAGTTTCTATATATAAAAGTCAAAATTGTACTAAGTAAATCGGTAAAAGTAGCTTAATAAAAGTTGTTAATAATTTAAACATACATATATTCTGAAAGTTTTATACAATTTGGATAACTTCTTATTAGTACACTTTTGCATTTTAAATTTGAATTTAAAATACAAATGTGTACTAATAAAAAGTTATCCAAAGTGTATGAAACTTTCAGAATATATGTATTTTTTAATTCTAAACAACTTTTATTATGGTCAAAATATATATTCACTTAGTACAATTTTGACTTTTATATATAACAACTGTTAAAAATTTTTGAAAAATTCGGAGGTAGCTTATTTTCGAGTAAGAAAGGATTTTGAGTTTTTGGCTCAAAAGTGAGGGGGTAGCTTATTTTTGGAGTAGCTTATTTTCGGAAATATATGGTACATATTTAGCTCTGTATAAATTTTTAAAAAGTGTCTACAATAATATAATAGGCTACTGTATGAGTTAATTTTGGAATTTATAAGCAGTGCTTATTTTTTAAAAGCTTTAAAGCTAAATAGTTTTTGACTTACTAATAAGTTTTTTACAACTTCTTTAGAAAATTTTATAGTATTTGATTTTGAAAACCTCTTTCTATATTTCTACCAGGTTTTGATATTTTTTTCAAATTTTTTTCAAAATTTAAAAAATTCAGCATACTCTCTATGAAGGATTATCATTGTTTATATAGCCAAATCAGGAATGGCTAAATTATAAAAAAGTTATACTACTACATGCCTGATCAACAATGAATAACATGTAATAGTTTCGATAAAGTAAATTTCGTATTTCTTATATAATTAAACTATTTTAAAACTGAAGTAAAGCAAAAGTAGAATTGTTTTACAGAGTATTAAATAATTTTTAAGCCCCACACTGGCACAAATAGTGTTGTTATGTATTTGTTTTTTTCTTTACCCTTTTCTTCTTTTATCTTTTTTTTTTTTTTCCACTTTTTTGCTTTTGGTTATCATTTAGATTTTTGTAATTCTCCTCTCTTTTTTTTTAGATTAAATTTTTTTTTAGTTGCTTGTTATTCTTTAAACAATAAATTCTACTATAGTAGGTTGAATATAGATGCAACAAATATTAGAGGTCTTATTTGGTCAAAAAATTTGTATTTGAATATTCATTTGTTTAATAATTTAATATTTGAATATTATCAAAAAAAACTCTTTCTTTCCGTCTATCACTCGTACAAAATTTTTCTCAACAAAAAATTGCAAAATAATTAAATAACTTTTATTTTTATTAAGTAAACCTTACTTTTGTTCTTAAACAAATAAATTCCACTCATAAAAATACATATAATATTAAAGTTCCAAACCGCTAACGCTTAAAACCGTTAAAAGAAAGGCCTTCCGGCCTTCAAATTACAAAACTGTAATTTACAGCAAAACTACCTTTATAATCTATCTTCCAAGCATAAAAAAAGTTCAAAAGATTATTTTTCCTATTATAACAAGCTATAGCTCATATCTGTAGCATCAAAATTAACAAAGTTATAATTAAATTACTTTTACAACTCCCTTTTCTTCTTTTTTCTTTTTTTTCTTTTTTCTTTTTTGCAAAAAACCCTATAGGTGTTTTTTGTACAATCTACCCAGCCCAAAATCGTATTACCCACATTTTTTAATACTTTAAAATTAGTAGTTCTTTTCAAACAATCAAATTACAAATCAATTATACACAAATTATTAATCAAAATTTGCATAAAACAAATATTTACCATTTTTGTAACTTATTAATTTGCACAAACTACAGTGCCTTTGTTTTACAAATTTGCCCAATTTGTGCAACACAGTACCTGGCCTGACATGTGACTTGACACGTGACTTGTATAACACGTGACTTTGTACTACCCAAATTTGACTTTTTTGCTCAACATTATATGAAACAAATTTTTACTCTACCAAAAAGTCCTTCTTAAGCTGAATTATAATTTCTTAATTAATAAACATGTTTTATTATTACAAACCTCTTTTTTAAATAAATTTTCTTTATAACTTGCTAAATCTAAAACAAATTTTTTCTTTTTAACCTATAGTATAAACATATTACAGTATGCTTATACTCAACTTGACTTCTTTGACCTTAACCACTGGTATTTTAAATACCAAGGTCGTTTTGGTCTCAGAATGACAGAATACAAACCACAATCTCTTTGTATTCTCCCAGCTAACGTTAATCCCAAAAACTGCAAAGTTAAAAATAACAAGAACTACTATTTCTTTCTTTTATCTACACAACCTGCTCTTAAAACCTGTATTTGTGGAAAATATCATACAAACTTTACTTCTAAATTTTTTAAGATTACTCCCCCACCCTAACAACAACCTGCCCTAGCTATGGAAATCTCTCCAACTATTTCAAAAAACAGATTCAATAGAATTTCTGAAGAACTTCCTCAATCACTTGCTCTTCAAATCACTCCTAAAATTCTTTTTCCCAATTTCTCTTCACAACCAAATCCAAACCTCAAAATTACTTCTTATTCTCAATATACACACTACTATATGATTTGTAAAGTTAACAATATACCTTGTGTCATGTCCAAGGATGAACAGCATAATCCAGATACTGAAAATAGCTCTATTTTCAGAGAAAGGCTTATTCACAATAACTGCAAACCCCATATTATTTACATCAAATGTAAACCTTTCCCACAAATCAAACCTATGACTCCCGAACAACGAGCAATACTCCTTGTCTATATGTTCAAATATTCCTCTAAAAAACTAAAAAAAACCTTTCTCAAAAGTGCTCTTAAACTCCTGCCTCCTAAACAAAAACAGCAACAACAAGAATTTCAAACAATAATCAATACAAATCAACAACAACAGCAACAACAACAACAACAACAACAATCTCAACAAGAATCTTCCTCTTTCCAAAAAAATATTAATACAGACCAACAATCTAACCAAACAGATAAAAAATATCCTCTTCGAGACACTTTTAAAGACTTAGACTGGTTTAAACAATATCCAATTACAAAGAGCATGAAGCCAAATACAAAACTAAACACACAACTTGCACAAGAATTATTTAATTTTATCAAACCATTCCTTTGAGAATTTACCCCTGGCCAACCTATCCCTTCTATGAAAGGGAAAGCCAATACTAATAACCCAAACTACAAACTCCCAAAGCAAAGTTTTACTTATCTATTAAAAATAATGACTAAAAAACATCTAGATTTTCTTATTAAATTTCTTAAGATTCAAATCCCGAAGTCAACTCTTCTTTTATTTTTCCTTTTACTGCAATACAAACTACTCTTAAAAATCTTCTTTCCAAATTTACTCAAGTATTTTTCACCAAACTTAATTATGCACATATCCTCCACTCACACTATTCAATCCCACCCTATACTACTGCAAACCAAGACAAAATTGCTATTAATTTAGCACGCTTATATTTATTTTTACACAATCGCTATCAAACCATTCACTATCAAAATTTTATTAAAGATTTAGATCTCAAACCTATCTGACTTACCTTAAAATACAATATTCTAGTAGATGAACCAAACAAACCACCTTTTGATATCCATAATGATAGAAGATTTAATGTGTTTATAATATTAAATCTTCCTAAAAGTAAATTTCTTGAAACTTTTCGTATTCTATCACTTAAACCACACTTTGTCACACTTAAAGAATAGTATGAAAACTTTTTCGAAGCATATGGAAAACAATTTGAAAAAATTGATAAAACCAAAGTTTTCAACTTTATCAAATATGAAATAGCAACTAAACTTTCTAAGAACTGTAAAGCCCTTTTGCCTTCAAAATTTGACCTTACAGAAGTTTCTTTTTTCGAAGAACGAAAAGACAATTTATCTAAAGCAGCACTTTTTCATTTACATACATGTAAAAACAAAACATGTGATATTCTTCAAATTGACAAAGAACACAATCTTAAAGAACTACATTCACACTTCTTAAAAAAATCCTTTGAACAATTTCCTGCCCCAGAACCATCCTCTTCAAATGATTATGAAACCAAAAACCTTCTCGAGCTCAACTTCACAATTTTCTTACCTGATTAAAAACATCTTGCAACTTTCAATAAACCTTTTCCACTAGCTTCTTTCAAAAAACTTGCAATTAAAGCTGACCAATAATATATAGAGCTAAACCAAAATACAACATCTACTCCTCAACGAATTACCTTTTATACCTATATATATCTAAAACAATACTTCTATCAAGCAGCAAAAAATAACAAAATTGAAGACCTGAAGCTTAATAAAGCACTTACAAAGTTTATTAATATCTCTTCACACAGGTTGAAATCAAAAATATCTTACCTGTATCTTCAAATAATCAGCCTAGGTGATAGCAGGACAATATAGTGATGGCTATGAACCAATATGATAGTATATAAAAAAAGCTGATATGCAGAAGATTAGGGTAAATTATAATGCATATACAGAAATTAACATTCGCATATCATTAAGATAATTTGTTTATCATGTAGAAGATATAAGGCTGATATGAACAAGATTTTTTAATAATAATTTGATGATTAGATAAATTATTAGCCAATATAGTGAAGGCTAATTTGTGAAAAAATTTTATCCATTTTATATGATATTGTACCGATATAAAGGATAAATATTCA